GTGGGATTTGAACCCCAGACCTCTTGCATGGCGGTCTGGCAACCTAACCACTACACTAAGATCGCCAGACCTTTATTTATTAAATTATATACTAATATATACATTAATATATATAGTAATACAGTATATAGAAAACTAATTAATAGTTAAATTACATATACGTAGTATATATCGAATATCTAAAGTTTATATGTACGTATACATAGCAACTATAGTTATGATATAATATGTATACTATATATCTGATATACTTACTACTATATAGTACAAATATAGTAAGTTACAGCTTTATACGTACGTAGCTATAACTTACTATACGTATTACTTAAATTACTAATGCATTTCTAGTCTCTAATAACATCGCGAATTAAGTTTAGATTATACTGATCTAACCTTAAATATCAAAAAACTTACTAATGTTTAACATTAACTGAAAAATCAATTTAAAAAACATGACAAACAAGTACCAACTAGTATTAACTAAAATTTCAATTATACGTAGCAATATCGATACATATAGTAAAATTACTCCTTACATACAAATAAGCTATTTTTGTTTTTGAGAGCAGGTTATTCGATTATACCCAGCACCTCTACAAATCTTACAATGTAACTTGTGTTTTGTTTTTTTTGATAGCTCACTTGCATGTCTAATTCTATCAGTTCCCTTTGTTCAACCTTTTCCTTTACTTTATGAGGATTTATCAACTCACTTAGATCCAACCTTCTATTATCAATTTCAATTTCATCTTCACTACCTGAATCTACATTACTATCAGATGAAACCTCTTGACAATCATTTAAATATTTATCGAGAATAGTAATAAAATTGCAATCGTGCCTCCAAACTGCTACCATTAATGCAGCTTTTGCTTTACCCCAAGCCTTTCCATATAGCTTTCATTTATTAATTACTTTATAGTTTATATTATGCACTTCCTTAACAAGCGCATTAAAATAAGGAATTAGACCACTCCAACCCATTGTCATTGGTTCTTCTATTTCAAATTTTTGTGCAACTAAAAATAGTTTCATAGAATTACTGGTTATATTATTATTATACTATCGGGGTCATATTAGCTGAATATAGAATATTGCAGTCTGTGTACATAGCATTATTTGAAAAAAATGCTAACAAATAATTCCACAATTGCAGTGGTCAAAACAAGAACATAAATGAGTCCCATCATCCAAAAGTACTACAAAATGCTATATTTCATTTGATATTATCTGTCGAACTCCTCACATTTCTATAATCTTATCTTTGTCAATAAAATTAAGCATTGACTTGGCTATAATATTAGTAAAATTTGGATTTTCACCAAATAAGTCAGGATCATCTAAATTAACCTAAAAATTTATACAGTAATAAGGATATCATTAATATACTATGTATATATTAATCTTTGAAATTTTTCAAAAAAAATGACTAGATCTTTATTTACTGCAAGAAACTTTTGTAGCTCATTTGTTACTATTTTTACACCATAGTAATAAAGTGCCTGTTTTATTTAATCTTCTTGGATCTTTAATATTTCAGCAGTAAGATATTTATACAGTATATTACAAATATTTAGTAGAATAGTATCAGCTGTTGCAGTCAGAATAGTCTTGGAAATTGACGCACGAAATAAAGCATATTCTGTCTTTTTATTCTCTTCAAGAATATATACTGATAATTTTTCTGCTAGCTCTAATAATGTTATATTGGAGTTAAATATTAATCTTTTAATCTTTGCATTATAGCTTTCAATCTGAGAAGTTGAAGACATTCTAGCTGTGAACAATTTAAGTACGAATGCTTTTGCTCATGATTCTTTATTAGTATAAAGCATTCGTTGTAAGTAACTAATTACATTTTCATTATTATACTTGTCAAGTAGACATTTCTACTAGTATTCAAAGATTGCAATAAAGTTACTTTGTTGTACTTCGAAGAAATCCTTGATGAACTCATCATAGTGATCTCTAAGAATATTTTTTAAATTAAGAAGAAGATTCTGTGCAATATGGAATATGCAATGAAGAGTATGCGTTGTCAGAAATTTATCTCGTATTGCGGCAATTAAAGCAGGGTCTGCATCAGTGAAGATAACATGGGGAGCAGCTTCGAAAGTTGCTTTTTTAATTTGCTGCAATATGCAAGTATGTACTTTCTTTGTCTCATCATTAGTTAAAGTCTGAGCTACCAAATAGGAAGATAAATAGTTGTCAACTATCAAAAAAAGTGATAATGCCATTTCATAATGATTTGTAGCAGCAGTATTGTCATTTAAAATAATGTCTCCAAATTTTAACCATTGTTCAATTTGATCAGGAGACATATAAAACAATCAGCGAAGACATTTACTATAAGGGTCCTACTTTACTTCAACATACTATCGGAGGTTAGTTTCTTTTTTTTTTAACAATTTTTTATACAGATGGCTAGCATCATTTGTTTGATCACGCGGTTTTGAGCAAAATTGTTAAATTACCTGATGCAGAACAGGCATGTAAACTTTTAAGAGATATTTTTCTTCCAGAGCTCTGCAAATTTGTTGGGAACTACAATTCATCTTTGTTACATAAAATTTAACATCATTAACCATATCCATAGTAAACTTCAAGTTTTCCAGAAAGTCAAAATACTCACGGTCAAGATCATAATTCATGTATTCATCAACTAATTTTGTAATGTATACGATTTTATGAGGATTATTTTTTTCAGAGCATAAAAGATTTATCTGCCATGTACACCCAATGCATTTAGAAGTGGTTTCCTTCTTTAAATCCTTGCTTTTTGTAGCCTCAGGCTTTCTATAATGTTCACAAACTAACATACATCTCTGGATACAGTTATTGGATTTCTCAACATAATAACAACATGTCTTGAAGCCTTGTTTCTTTCCATATTTTTCAATTTCGTTCATCGCATGATCTTAACTAAAGAATATCATGTTCATTCGCAACTTCTCATTTTGAGTATTTTGAGCACCATCCACTATATAACTCCATTCCTGATCTATTGTATTTTCATAATTTGCACCTTCAAAATTAATCGCATCATTGCTTTTATTTTTAGGCTAACCGATCTCATATACGATATCATTGTGGATATCAAATTCAGTTTGATTATCATATAGTGCCTTGTTAATGCTGAAATTTACTTGATTATTATCATATAATGCATTGTGATTAACAGCAAGTTTGTATAACATATTATTATTAATAACGAATTCTTCCATTTGTTAAACGTAGATAAAAAGCAACAGAAAAAAACAATCTAGCATGGATGAGTAATGAAAAAAATTATTTATTCTAGGCAAGAGATCAGAACGCAAGTTTAATTTAACGGGATCACGTAGGGTAGCGCCATAGTACTATGTATATCATTATATTATTTATTTTAATTAATTAACAAACAATTACATAAGGGTAGCGCCGTGGTACTGTGTATATTAAGATTATTTTAATTAACAACTGATTACATAAGGGTAGCATCGCGACACTATAGCACTATAATAATATTCCCTTTGTTTTAAACTTAAATTATAAAAAATTTCACTAATTAGATCTTTTTTAGACTTATAAGTAAAGTTATAAAGTAGATTTTTGTAATTCTAATAGTAGTAAAATTATTAAAATTAAATTAAAACTCATTAAAATATAAGAATTTAAAGATTTTTTTGATTTTTTACTATAAAATTTAATATATAGAATCACTAAAATCAACTAATCAGAAACTAATCAGATAGTCTAATTTAATGTAAATTTTTATTTTAATCTTACCATACATAGAATTAAAATAAAAAAAATTATTAGATGGTTGTCAAAGTTTTAAAAAATTTAGGTACAACTTCGTTAATAGACGAGACATTCACCTAACTAAAGCTTCACTCAAAGTTTTAAAAAAAATCGATTTTGATTGGTTCATCTTTGTTGGGTAGTTATTTTCTGTTTCGCCGAGTTTCGTCACCTTTCGTCAGTTTCGTCACGTTTCGTCATTTCGTCATTTCAAAAAATTTTTGACGAAACCTCTAAGTTTCGTCTAACAACTATAGACCTGATAAAATAATTTTTCTGCCGGCCCGCATCTTAGCATTTCTGGCCCACAATTTTACTATGTTTTACAGCTGTTCTCATAAATTCTGGGACACCTAAAAATTTATTCGTTTCCCGAAATCTCTTCGGTTTCGTTCTGTA